TGTCCTTTTGTGATTGACTTATTTCACTCAGCATAATATCCTCCAGTTTCATCCATGTTATGAGATGCTTCACAGATTCATCATTGTTCTTTATCATTGCATAATACTCCATTGTATGTATGTACCATAGTTTGTTTATCCATTCATCTGTTGATGGGTATCTAGGTTGCTTCCATCTTTTTGCTATTGTGAACAATGCTGCAGTGCACATGGGTGTGCATATGTCTATTCATGTGACGGCTGTAAGAGCAGACTTAGATGTAAACACCACCACTGGCACCTCAGACAATTTCATTTTGGGGTCAACGCTATGTTCTGGGCACACTAGGAAGAAATCCCATATGGAACCTATGGAGCACTCCAAAGGGAAAGACAATATCCAGACCCCTTCCCATAAAGCTTGGATTCTCAGTGGTCGGCCTTACAGGTGGTTGCAGACATTTATGTCTCTACCCAAGTGCTACAGTCCAGCATCTATCAAAAAAAAAAAAAAAAATCTCCTTGGCATGGGCTTCATGGGGCTTAAGCACTTCCAGAAATGATGAAACTCACTGTCTCCCTACTCTCCTGAGGTAGCCATGGAAATCTGCCTCCTGATCCGAGTACTGCCCTCTGGAGCTAAACAAAGTAAGTCTAAAATTAAGTTGTTATATTTATTTATTCTAATATCCTCACTGTTCCTTGGGAATCTGAGATTCCTTAAACAAATGAGGCAATTCCCAGAGAGGATCATTTATTTCAAGACAAAGGCCTAGGGGTCTGGGGGGCCATGTAGGTTCTAGAGTTAGACAAACCTGGGTCTGAACTCTGGCTCTGTTATCTACTAGCTACCTGACCTTGGCAAAAGTAGTTAAGCACTCTGAGCCTCAGTTTCCTCATCTTAAAATGCAGGGCTGTGATCCTCAGAGATAATTTGTACCTAATAAATAATGGCTATTTTATGATTATGCAGGAATAAAATATGAAGAATCTAAGAAGGAAGGGTAAATTGAGGCATTGCATGGTGCCTAGTGTCTCTCTGATGATTCTATCACCAGATCGTCCACATAGGGGTTTAGAGGAACTGCTCCTGAGTTTTGCTGGAAGTCTAAGCAGTAGCTGTGATACTGGCAGTAACTACAGTGGGTTTTTTTCCCCCTACATCAATATGGCCAGGCAGGATGTTAATCTGCCTTTGGGAGAGTGTACTTAGGATAAGTTCCCAGGCCTCAAAGCCAGTAACAGGTGGCTGAGGCTGCATCTCTAGGAGGCAGAAGCCGTTCTCCTGACCCTTCCTTGAGTCAACAGCCTGATAGGCATGGCCTTGTCCAGAAGATCAGAGACCAGCAGGGACCAAACAGAGCCAGGGATATTTAAGAAAAAAGATAGGGCCACTCAATGACCATCTTACCTTATCTTCATTTGCAACAAGCAAAGTTTCCATTCCCATTTTCAGACATTGAATTTCTTGGTCTAAAAAAATTTAGGTGTAGAAAGAATTAATTATATAAATTCAAAGAGCTATCCCCACATAATAAGATGCTCCTTAAGTGCAAACCTGAGGAATTTCCATGTGAAAAAATTACACACAGTCTCCTTCATTTTTTTAAAAAGCCAAGAGTGGTATCTGGCATGGAGTATCATTAAATATTTGCTCAATTACTAAATGGATGAACCTAATATTTTGATTTCTCTTTATAAACATTTGTAAGCAAAACCAAACTGCCATTTACTCAAAGGTGATTCAGAAGGACCAAAAAATCATCGACAACCAGCATCTCATAAGAATGCACCATCCATGTCCTTTACAGCTTGACAGGCATGTACCTGAGCTGCTGACTTGTTTTGGAGAAAATCATACATCTCATGGACTGTAGCAGAGGAGCATTTAAAATAAGGAAAAAAAAAATTGCAGCTGAATACAGACTGGAAAATAGTGACTATGTAAAATAGTTGGGTACTTAGTAATTTAAAATGATAGTTAGAACTTACTAGCAAATGCTTAGATGGATCTATATATTAAGACAAAGTCTACAGCTAAGGGAAAACAATTGTTTAATTACAAAGCTACAGAATTTCTCTATGGGCCAAAGGATCTACATCAGTCCTTGATGGCCAACCCGTGGCCTCCTCTCACTCTGGACCCAACAGTGCCTTTCTTGACTGTTTCTCAAACTGGTCTGGAGAGCCAAGTCAAAGGCCAGCGCTTTAAGGAAGTGGAGATCATCCCACCAGATACTTGGAGGCCTAAAAATTGGCACAAAAGTAGATTTTCCAAACAGGTACCTACACCCATCCCCAAACTGATTTAACTGTAAAGGAAATAACTTCCTCTGCTCCCCACCACCCCACTCCCACAAAAAAACAAAAAAACAAACAAAAAAAAACATTGAGGTGATTCCGACTCATAGCAACGCTACAGGACAGAGTAGAACTCCCATATAGGGTTTCCAAGGAGCAGCTGGTAGATTTGAATTGCCAACCTTTTGGTTAGCAGATAAAAGCTTAACCAATGTGTCACCAGGGAATAGAGATGTGTATATTAGAAAAGTACAGGAAACAAGGGAACAGAAGAATAGACATCTCATTTTTAGGATGCTTGCTCATATCCAACAAGGATGGGCGCAGTGGGTCTGTGGACTTTGTGTGAACAATTGTGGGGAGTCATTTTCAGAGTAAAGAGGAGCGTGCTTGCTCTTTATCTTAGGTTCCTTGTAGCTGAGGATCAGCTTTCCAGCCCAGTTTGTGGAGTAAGCTCCAGTTGAGTTGATTTTTTGGCCAGGCCCCAACCTGAGAAGAGGATGACCAAAGGACCAGCTCCAGGAGGTACCTGAAGATGGAATGGAGCAGGGCCTGGAAGGCTTGGACTGTGGGGAAGCATAGGGTAGAGAGGAGGATTACCTGGTCTAGAAGTCATGATTAGGGGAACTCCCTGCCCAGGTTTGGCATCACAGGTAGTTCAGAGTACCCTAGGAGGACCCAGCCTCCACACTATGCCTTGGCAGTAGTGACATACCTAATTGCTTGGGAGACACTGAGAGAGGCTTGTGGAGGTCACTAATTTCCTTCTCCAGTCTAAGCTGCTGTTTCATGGCTGCATGGCTTCCCCACCCCTGCCAGAAATCCAAGTGAGGCAGTGCTAAGGCCAAAATGACACTTGGTAATGGTGTCAATCCACAGGACCATATGATCTCCCCAGCACTGCTCTGAAGCCTAGATGGTAAGCAGAGATTTAGAAGGTTCTTGACCATTTTTTATACATGGCAAATAGCCATAAGTAGAAAATATGTGTTAATAAGAATATTTGAAAAATTATCCTCTATTTTTAATCAGCAAGACATGGACTCCTCAGGGACCATTTACTATCCACTCAGTTGTTCAACAAATATTTCTTAGAAGCCTACCATGGATTGATCATTATATTAGGCTCTGCACAATCTTGAACAAGACAGACACAGTCCCTCCCCCTAGTTGGGGGCTACAGTTTATATACAAGAGACTTCTAAAAATGCAACACTGGTAAGTTGTAATAAGCGCTATGAAGAAAACACAAAGGATGCTGAGTTAGAGAAAAATAGGATAGGGGCACCTACTTGAGGTAGGGTGGCCAGGAAAGGCCTTTCTGAGAGGTAGCATTTAAACTGACATCTAAAGGATGAGAAAGAACTTGTTTCTGTAGCCCCAGGGCCTTGTACAAGTCTCAGGCAGGTATTTGCGGACATACGTGGAATGACTGAATGAACTGCTGAAGTCTCCCCTTTGGTGATGACACAGAAGCAGGTCCTTTCAATCAAGTGAAAGAGGCAGGCATTTCTTACATTCTCAATAAAAACTCCAGAGGTGGCTGCATAGAGCTTCAATTAATACTATGCATGTGAGGAAAGTCTTCAGAACTGAATCTTAGGGGGAGGATTCATGGCAATGTTTCCACAACAGAGCCATGCCTTTTAGGCATGCACACACACACGTGTGTACCCAGACACCCTCACACACATACATACACGTACAAGCACATCAACACACCTACTGATACAAGCATATACACACATACATACATGCCCACTTAATGCAAGAGGGTGCAGGGGCAACTGCATTCCATCACAGTCAAGCCAGTTACCTCTCTCTGCATGGTCACTGTGGGCCGTGGGCCGGGAGAGCTGGCTGTGTAGACGCTCAATTTCTGCATCTTTCAGGGCTACCTGCTCCTGCAGTTGGGCTACCTCAGCCTGGAAGAGCAACAGAGAATCCCTACCAGGTCAGAGGGATGACCAAATTGTTATGACAGGCCTCAAGCCAGAGGCCAGAGCCCATCAGGTCCTAAGACATGTTAGGAAGTTAGCAAAGATGCCAGAGATACCTCACTGCCCTCCCTACAGGGTGGAGCTCTGCTGAATGCACTCATTTTTCCTGGCTATTCCAGCTCTACCTGAAGCCCTGTCAATCTGCTCCTTCCCCTACATCCCTCCTACCTGACCAGGCTCTTTCCCTACTCTGCCCTCTGAGGCCCAGGTACCTCTAAGGCTGAGGAGCTGGGATTGTGTGCAATGGGAAGGCTGTCTAGAAGTAGACATTCTCTTTCTGGATATGGTCTTCCTTCTCCCAAAATATTCATGGTCCTTTCATCTTTCCACCTCATGCAGGAAGTACAGTGGAAATCAAATCACTATTGGTAGATAAAGAGTGAGCCAAGAGCTGACATGCAGAGATGGGTGTTCTGGCTCCCTGCAAGTGCTTCGCCTCATTAAACCCAGGGACCACACCCTAGTGCTGCTGAACTGGAATATGAATCACCTTTAGGGCCTTAGAAACCTTAAGCAGAAAACGGAAGAACTTAAAAAAACAGTGTGGGTTTTTACTGCAAGGGATCAGGATGATATAAGACAGACAGCATGAGTTTTGGAACAACATAGACCCAGATCTGAACCTCTGAGCCACTCTGAGCCTCAGTTTCTTTACCTGGAAAATGAGGATAATGAGATATACCTCACTGGGTTATTTTATGGATTAAATGAGAAAATGTGAGCAAAGGGTTTGATATATTCTAGCACATAGGAGGTGTTCAACACCTGGTAGTTATTAAACAACCCTGAGCATTTCAAAGGTCTACATGCCAAGGCAAAGAGCTTTTGTAATTTAAAAAAAGCATGGGGGCGGGAAGGGGGGAAGTGATTTGGTTTTATAACAGAGGGTAGTATGTACAACTTCAAAGGTTTTTACCGAGACAGGACTTGCTTGAGTGGAGCACTGTGATGGAAGGTTCTGAGTTATTTGAGAAAAAGTCCTCCTAGAATGGGTGACTGTAGGCAAGTACATACAAGGCTGCACTCAGATACAAACAGGCTAGTAGATAAATAGATTTGGACAGTCTACGGATATCAGTAACTAGCTTAAGATCTGGGAAAAGTTCTTTAACCTCTCTGTGCCTCAGTTTCCTCACTTGTAAAATGGGAGTATAACAGACCTACCTCTTAGGTTGTTATGGGGACCAGATGAGTTAATGTTTACAAAGTACTTAAATTATTATATGATAATGCTACATATCACTTATCAGTGAGAAAGGAAAAGATGATTCAATTAAATTATTCTTTGAGGTAAAAAGTAAAAATAAAATTTATACTCTTACCCTATACTAAAACAAATTTCAGATGGACTATAGAACTAAAGCTAAGTTTCAAACCTCAAAAAAAAAAAAAGCTAAAAGAAAATTCAGGTCAACGTTTATACAAACTCAGAGTTGGGAAAAGACTTTCTTGAGGTGATAGAAGAAACCATTAAAGAAAGCATAAAAATGCAAAGGCAAATAAACTAGAGAGAGATTTATAAGAAATATAACAAAAGTTCGTGTTCTTGATATTTAATAAAACATAAAATAGATCACTAAGAACACTAAAACCAAAACAGAAAACTGAGCAAAGAATATGAACAGACAATTCTGAGGAAGAAATATATGACCAATTAACAAAGGATAAAGGTTTAACCTTACCAATAATCATAAAAATGGGAATTAAAATATGTGGATATCAACCTTCCCCAGGCATCAAATAAGCAAATTTTTTTTTCCTAAAAGTTGCTGCTACTGGTTGCTCAAAGATGATGCAATTATATTAGGTATACAGAAATAAAATTCTTCAGAAAACAATTTGACAATGTGACTCAAAGCCCTTAAAAATATTCGTAGTTTGATCAAGTACTTCTACTTCTAGGAATTGATCCTAGAAATAACCTGAAATAAGGGAGAAAAAAATCTCCAAGCATAAATATCTTCCTAAAACTTTAGTTATAATACTGAAAAAATGTGGTGAGGTGTGAGGGAATAGCCTCAGTACTCAACTACAAGGGATGGTTAAGCAAATTATTTACATTTATACAGTAGAATATTCAATAGATATTAACATGGTCATAGAGTTTTCTATTAATACATGGGAAATCACAATATAAGCTTAAATGAAAAAAACATGTTATAAAATTATAGGTAAGTTATCAACACCAGAAATTCAGAGAGAGCGAAATACCTGGAAGAAAATATTAACAATGGTAGTTCTTGGGTGGTATATAAGTGAGTTTCATTTCTATTTTGTATGGTTTGAAAATGCTTTGTAAGGAGTATGTATTGCTTTCATAACTTAAAAATTAACTTATGGAAAACTAAAACCAAAAGTACAAAATATTTAAATAGCTTGAAAGTTAAGAATCACAAGGGACTCTGGAAACTGTAATAACAAGTAAAAATTAAAATGTCTACCGGACACATCAGGTAACATCCTTAGGTGGCTCTGCAGAGACCCTTGTGAAATAGTACCTGTTAGACATAACTAAATACCTCATGGGATTGGATTTCTGGGTTTGAAGGATTAGTACCATAGTCTTGTGGGACATCTCAGTCAACTGGTATAATGTATAGTTCATAAAATTTACGTTCTACATCCTAGTTTGGTGAGTAGTGTCTAAGATCTTAAAAGCTTGCAAGCGGCCATCTAAGATACAACTATTGGTCTCTACTAGTCTGGAGCAAAAGAGAAAGAAGGAAGACAAAGACTCAAAGAAGAAACTAGTCTACAGGACAAATGGTCTACACGAACCACGGCCTCATCTCCCCTGAGACCAGAAGAACTAGATGGTGCCTGGCTACCACTATGGACTGTTCTGATCAGGGCCATAATAGATGGACCCTGACAGAATGGGAGAAAAATATGGAACAGAACCTCAAATTCCTAAAAAAAGAAAAAACAGACTTACTGGACTGGTTGAGACTGGAGGACTCCCCAAGACTACTGCCCTGAGATACTCTTCAGAACTTGAACCAAAACTAACATCTGAGGTCACCTTATAGCTAAATAACAAATTGGCTCAAAAAATAATATCACCCATAAGTACTGTGCTCCTTTAAAAAAATCACCTATACGAGACCAAATGGTCAACAATTACTTTAAAACAAAGATGAGAATGTAAGGGGGCAGGGAAACAAGATTAATGGAAACAGAACAACCAGAACAGAAATAATGAGAATGTTCATGTGTTGTGAAGAATGTAACCAATGTCACTGAACAACTTGTGTAGAAATTGTTGAATGGGAACTTAAACTGATGTGTAAATTTTACCAAAAACACAGTAAAATATTATTTAAAAGGAAAAAAAAAGAAATAGTACCTGCCAAGGCTCCAGCAGGCAAGAATGCTTCTTCTGCAAGATTGTTAGAGCTTTTTTTTTCCTCCCCCAAAAGAGGCCAAAATCTATATTTTAATGTGAAATTTCCTAATGTTTAAATGACAATTCAACATTTTTAAATACATATGCAGGGCAAAAAAAGTAAATCTATGGGCTGAATTCAACCCATCAGTTTTAATCTCTGCACTTTAATTATTAGAGAAAAGAGAAGAAACAAAGGAGAGGAGGAAGGAATTTATTTCACAAAAGGATTTATCCTTGGTGTCCTTTAAATAGTTTTTAATAAAAATACAATTTATTGAAAAAAATATTCAAAGTCTAAGTCACTTTTAGGAATACAATCATCACTGAAAATAAGGCATGCCTATTTTTCAGAAAAAACACTATTAGAGGGATTGCTGATTTTAAAAGGATGCAGGTCTATACATTGGTGCTCACTGCCTTAGGACCTGTCACTAGCTCACTGTTCACTTGCTAGCTCACTAGCTCTCTCAGAGAACTTTCCAGGCCTCAACTTCAGTGAGCGCAGTGAGGGGAAGGAGACTTGACTGCTACCCTTCAGGAGGTCATAATCTTGCAGGCTTTCTTCAAAAGAAACATCCTGGATCCAAATCTGTTTGCTGTAGTCCCTGTTATGCTCAGTACCGTTGCCTGGGTACATAGTAAGATGAATTTACATTTTTCAAGCTTCAAAACCAAAAACCCAAACCCACTGCCATTGAGTGGATTGCAACTCATAGTAACTCTGTAAGACAGAGTAGAACTGCCCCCGTAGGGCTTCCAGGGAGTGCCTGGTGGATTTGAACTGCTGACCGTTTGGTTAGCAGCTAAACTCTTAATCACTGTGCCAGCTTCCAAAACCCACTGCCATCAAGTCGATTCCAACTCATAGCAACCCTACAGGACAGAGTAGAACTGCCCGATAGAGTTTCCAAGGAGCGGCTGGTGGATTTCAACTGCTGACCTTTTGGTTAGCAGCTGAGCTCTCAACCACTTCACCACCAGGGCTCCCTGTGTCAGTTTAGGCAACTGAAAGACCTAAGTTTGAACACAGGTCCTCCCTACAGGGCCTCAATGCCCTCTCCATAAGCATCAGAACTGCCTCTTCTTACCTTAGTGGCCTTCAACTTCCATTCATACTGATTCCGCTCATTTTCCAACTCTTCCACTTTGATTTTGAGGTGCCTGAGTTCTTGCAGTAACTCCTAGAGGGCCAGGAAAGAAGGACAAAGTTCTGATGGTTAAAAAGCAGGAGATGCACTGGGTCTACAAACGTGGGTACGTTCATGCACAGAGGATACTGGAGGCAGAGCAACAGCATCAGGTTCCACACTGTGGTTTTAATCTGTAAACATGGTCCTTGTTTCAGGAAAAGCTGTGTGGCCATTTAAAAATAAGAGAATCTCTTAGATCAGGGAGTTCAGATACCAGAAAGAGAAAAATGTCCTCTTCTTTTTAGAACCCTTCTTGCCTGCCCCTTTCTCTGACACTCTCGTCCACTGCAGAGTGTGTGTGCATCATGAACATGTGTGCAGGGGGCGAGGCAAGTAGGGCTTGAGAACAGGTGGAACAAACATGCCAAAAGGAGACAGCTTCTACTTGTGTGATGCAGACAAAGTAGCAAAAAGCAGGCTGAGAGCACCTCTCCGTGCTGGGGATGGAGGAACTCAGAAGAGGGGTTTTGTGGTTCTGGGAAGCTTCACAGAGGAAGTGACAGTTGAGTGGGATGGAAATGAAACACTAAGAGAATAAATGCCAAGTGCCAAGTGTAGAGGCCAGTAATGGGTGTTCAGTTGAGAAGAGGAAATTGGTTTGAAGAAAGAAGGGAAGGAGAGGGCATCCAGGAAAAGAGGATGCATAAAAGTAGATAACCTGTTGGACTGGAGCAGAGGATGGGTGTGGGCAAACAGTGGGAGATAAGGTGGGAGCTCTATTGTGAAGGCTTTTGAATGAGAAAATAAGGAGTTCTGATACCATTCTTTTGATAGTAGGAAGCCAGTGAAGATTGCTAGTGGGGCAGTGATATTTAAGCATCATGTAGCTAATAAACAGTGGAATTGGAATTCAAGCCCATGTCATCTGATTCCAGGGACCTTGTTTTTTAAATTACCCTTTCCAATAAAGAAGAGACCAAGGTTCCGTTAACAACTCGCCCTGCTGAGTTTGATATGAGTTTCTATTAAAAAATTAGCATAAAGCCAATTATTTCCATATGCTTTCTGAACTCCAAACTCATACAACAAACTTCCTACTTAACACCTACATGTGAATGTCATGTAGGCATCTCAGGATTGTCATGTCCAAAATGGAACTCTTACTTCTCTCCCTCAGTCATCCCTGTCTCACTAAAGGGCATACCCATTTATCTAATCGCTTGTGCCAGAAACCTGGGATCCATTCTTGACATCTCCTTCTCCCCCTTCCCCTACATATATAACCCGTCCCAAGCCCTGTTGATTCTACTTCCAAGAAAATAACTTGAATTATCTCTCTCCAACTCTACCACCACCACTCTGATCTAGCAACTACTTTTGGTGGCCTGGACAGTCTCTTCATTGATTGCTTCTCTGTCTTCCTGCCCCTCTTCTATCCACTGACCCCAGGGCATCCAGGGGAACAATATGATTACAATGCAAATCTGATCATGTCACTCCTCTGCTTCTCAAAGCTCATAAATATAACCCATGACAAATACAGCCCATCCTGACCCAGGTCACTGTCTCTTTTTTTTTTTTTTTTAACTATGGTAAAAACACATGTAACAAAACGTTTTCCATGTCAACATTTTTTATGTATACAATTCAGTGACATTAATTACATGTGTTGGAAAGGAGCCCTGGTGGCACAATTGTTAATCGCTCAGCTGCTAACCGACAGGTTGGCAGTTTGAACCCACCCCGCAGTTCCTCAGGAGAAAAGACCTGGCGATCTGCTCCCATAAAGATGACAGACTAGAAAAACCTATGGGGCAGTTCTACTTTTGTCATGCAGGGTCGCTATGAGTTGAAATCAACTCTACAGCACCCAAAAACAACAATAACAATGTTGTTTCCAAATATTTTTATCACCCTTAATGGAAATTCCATGTCCCTTAAGCAATACCTGCCTGCTTCTTATATTGCTCTTTCTCCCCAGTTATGATCCAGCCACACTGAATACTTTATAGTTTCTCTTTCCAACTTGGTTCTTCACATATGCCATTATCTCTGTTTGGAACCATCTACCACACTAACTCTTACCCAACCTTCAGGCCTCCCTGAACAAGGTTATCTTGACCTCCACACTGCCTCAGGTGCCCCTCTATACCCTCTTGTGAGACCTTGCGCATCTATCTCCTGCGTGCTTTGCAATTAAATATTTACTTGTATGATTGCTAATGGCTAGTTATCCTCCTATACTGTAACTCCATGAGGAGTTTTGCTAGTTCCAAGTTTGTTTTGCAACTATGTGCAGTACCTGGTGCATAGTAGGTATGTACTGTATACTGAATAAACACAAGGTACTCAAGTCATTATTTAACTGGCCTTAGGCTCCAGAGTCCTCCTCTTCAAAAGCAGGCCTTGGAGGTGCAGGCTCATCCTATACAGGCATCAGCACTGCCACAGAGGACCAGGTCACACCAGTGTGAGGGGCCAAGTCTATAATTCCAGACAGATACACCCCACATGGGCTAGAGGTCGTGAAAGCCACTCTAATGGGATTATGGGGGGAAATTTTTCCTGGAAATTCAGATGATGACTTAAGTGATCACAGCAAATGGAAAACTGTGTTCTAGTTTCTCACTGGGAGTAAACCTCTTTAAAAAATAAACTTGAAAAGATTCTTTCATGATGCTATTTTTTCCCCCCAAGGAAAAAGAATCACGTGACATAAAGCTTTGTTTATTTCCCAGCCCAGACGAACGAACTGGTGTCTGAGTCATATACCTGGGCAAGAGAATCCTGAGGCTTCCTTTGGCACAAATGCCCATCACTCAGAGTGTCTGACACACCTTGTTCCCAGCCCTCAGGGAGATGAGTGCCACCACCTGTATGAGGGTCTGCCTCACCTGCTCAGACTCTGCTCAGTGAGAGCCACAAAGGTCACTCACTTCCCACGAGGAGTGAGTCCCAAGCTATTCCCAGAAGCAAAATCAGATCCATGCTAAGCCCCCCAGCCCCTCCACCAGTGAAATGCCCCACACATGCATGCGCTGATATACTTAAGTGTGGTTCCTACAGGTGACCCCTCCCAACGGGCACAGTCCTGGCTGCAGGGCTGGGGCTGGGCTGCACCGTCACTGGCCGCCACCTCCTCAGGGTGGTCCCTACTGAGTAACTGGCGCGCTTGCATCTGCCTGTGGATGTCCAGCTGCAGCCTACACATCTGCTCCTGCAGCTCACTGATCACATTCAGAACCGACTGTAGGAAGGAAGAGAAAGGAGAAAAAAGCACGCAGGGTCAGTCAGCTCTCAGACACAGAGCTCCCTGAGACAGTAGCACAGAATATGAAGGAGCGTGCAAAGGGTGAGCAGCAGGAGGCACCCAGCAGTCACTGCCCATGGCCATCCACTTTCTGCACAGGAGTCAAAAGGCATGGCATGTTTCCTGATGCCTGCCTCATCCATGGGCCAGTGGAAGACTGCCTTGCAGTTTCAACAAACCCGCAACAGCAATTAGCTCCTTTGCACCATGCCGGATTAGCTCCTTCGCACCATGCTGGAGGTCCATCCTTGCATGCCAACACCTGAAGCACAGAGCCTAGAAGAAACCCTTCAAGAAGCAGAAACAGCAGTAGAGATGAGGACATAAGCAGGGACACACATACAAACACATCTTTTTTATATATGTGTCCACATTACAAAGGTCAATTCCCCCACTCAAAGATCCAAAAATGTCAACACCTCATGCACAGGTGACATATATGCACACGCCACACTTACACATGCTAATATGTCCCAAATTCCAACCTCTCCCTCACACTCTAGACCAAACCTTACTCCTTCACTTCCCACTCTAAACCTGACTCCTTTGTAACCTCTAGAATATTCTGGCCTTTTATGACAACTTTTAAAAATAACTACAAACCTTGGCATCCATACCTATTCAGTTCTGAATCCCTTTAACCACCAGCTCCATTGGTCTTTCCCTTATCTAGTCAATAGACATTTAGTGTCACTCTGCAGAGACCCAGTGGCCATAGTATTCTATGGGGAAGAACGGTGGCCCTCCTCTTCTCTCCCTATTGTCAAGAATCTTCACTACCCTCCACTGCCCTCTCCCTTCTCTGTGTTCTCTCCATTTTTAAACTTCTCAAATGAGAATCTAGACCTGCTGTCCCTGCTTTCCATCATCTCATTTCCTCTCCACATCCCCCAGGAAGATAAGCTTCTGAGTCCAGCATACTATGCTCACCACGCTTTCTCAGCTGACTTCCTCCCAGTCAAATACATAAGCTTGTTCTCTTCCCTCAAGCTGTTTGGCTCCCCCTTGGAGAGCTTCATTCTATACCTTCAGCAATTTGGGACTATGCAGGCTCCTCCAACCTCTTTATTACTCTTTTTATGCCAACCCAGTCTGTCTAGGTCTTTATGGATTCTGATGTTAACTAATACATTTAGTTTTTCTTTGGATTCCTATCATCACAAGTTCAAGGCCTTCTATATCAACACCTAAATTACGGAATAACAATGTTAAACACCAGAAGAGCTATGGACAGATTACTAGATTACTGAAGTTAGTCTTTAAGGTATTATTCATTATCATTCAGGTGCCAGTATAGCTATTTTAGCATTCATCCCATATTCCTCTACCTTATCCACACGACTAACTGAAGTAATGTTTCTGCAACACCGCGCTGACATGCAGGTTTACCAGATCTACTACTAAAGACACATTACCAGTCAAGCCAATGAGGTCAATCTGATGTGACTCTTAGTGGATCCCTACTTTGTCATCAAAGTAGCTTCTCACAGAAGTATCATAGGGTTGACCTCAAACTCAATAGACTAAGTTTTATAGAATCCATATAACTTTCTTCCCTATTTTGAACATCAAGAAGAAAATACTGTAGTTCATTTTCAGTTTTCTAGCAACTCACTCAATTTTCCTGATTCCCAAAATTCACTTACAGCAAACAGTCCTGGAAGTGCTGTTCTAAGTTCTCTGTACCTGTCAGAGGCACTGGCAAAATGAAGTCCATTTTTTCTTAGATCTTCTTACTGAG